GGCTTGGGGTTCCCAGGTGACCTGCTGCAGGGGGTGCAGTGCCGCGGGCGGGGCTCTTAGGGTTTCTCTTCACCCCTTTTGGCACTGCTGAAAGAGATGGAAGGGGATTTATTTCCCCCATGTATGGCTAAGTTTTCTTCATCTGCCCCCTCAGCTGATGTTTGTCCTCTGGCAAGGGTGGGGGGGATGAGGACCATGTCCTGTTCCTCCCGCTGTGGTGCTTAAGTGCTGCTGTGCTTGCCCTTGGCAGGAAAAACCCCCTCCACTTTCACTTCATCACGGACTCTGTGGCCCACCAGATCCTCCAGACACTCTTCCAGTCCTGGATGGTGCCCTCTGTCCACGTCAGCTTCTACAACGCCGATGACTTGAAGGCAGGAACTTGCTTCACCTTTGCCCTGTGCCAGTGCAGTGTTGGGGGGCTGAGGGGAGCAGCAGAGAGGGGCGAGTGGGAGGGGGGATTATTAACTTGTCCTGCTGGTCTCTCACTCACCTGCTCCCCTTTCTGGACTTGTTGCTGGTCCAGCTGAGAAGGAGCCACAGGGCTGGTGCTGGAGGGGTGGGAGGCCCCTTGGGGTGGCACTGCCTTGGCAGCAGAGCTGGGTCCAGCCACTGAGCACTGAAGCACTGGAGTTCAGCTGGGGGTTTTGGTGGCTGGAGGGAGAGCCAGATCAGGGTGAGAGCAAAGGAGAAGGAGCCAGCAAGGGCCTGGGGAGAGAGAGGGGTGGCTGCTGGTGGTGCAGCTGGAGGAGATGCTCTGGGCTTGGCTGGTTCCACAGCTCCGTTGTGCCTCTCTGCTGGTGGTGCCAGGCACACACGGTGTGGGCAGGGGAAGGGTGTGGACGTGCCCAGCCCTGAGGCTGTGCCCCCTTGCAGCCGGAGGTGTCGTGGATCCCCAACAAGCACTACTCTGGTATCTACGGGCTGATGAAGCTGACCCTTACCAAGGCACTGCCCTCCAACCTCTCCAAGGTCATCGTCCTGGACACCGACATCACCTTCGCCACCGACATTGCTGAGCTTTGGGCTGTCTTTGGGAAGTTTTCTGGTGAGGACAGGGTGTCCCTGGGACCTGCTGTGGCCCTGGCAAGGCCCTGGGTGCTGGGCATAGTGCGGCAGCCCCTGTCTGCCACAGCACCAGTGCAGTGGGTTTGCTTGGGCCCTCTGAACCTGCAGCAAGAAGGGCTACATCCACACCCCTCTGTGTCCTTAGACAAGCAGGTGATCGGGCTGGTGGAGAACCAAAGCGACTGGTATTTGGGCAACCTGTGGAAAAACCACAAACCATGGCCAGCCCTGGGACGTGGCTTCAACACGGGTGAGTGGGGGCTACTGGGGTGGGCCTTGCAGCCTGATGGCACATCCATTGGAAGGTGGCACTTGGCACGGGGAGGCTGGGGAAGGCTGAGGTGTGGCAGGAGAGTCTGGTGGCCGTGAAGGGGCTGCTGCAGTGTCCCGGGGTTGCGTGGGTGGGGCGAAGGCACAGAGGCTGCTGTGCTTCAGCTCTGTAAGGGTTGGGTGCTCCTTCGGTGACCCGGTGCCCTCCTTCCTGGCACTCAGGGGTGATCCTGCTCCTGCTTGACCGCCTGCGTCGCCTGGGCTGGGAGCAGATGTGGAGGCTGACAGCAGAGAGGGAACTCATGAGCATGCTCTCCACCTCGCTGGCTGATCAGGTAACGGTCCCTCCTTTGGGGTGGTGAGCCCTGCCGTGTTCCTCTGGCACTGCTGGCACAAGGGTGGCCGTGCTGTCTTCCTCATCCACCTGTGCACTCGTCCTTCCCTCTGCTAGGACATCTTCAACGCGGTGATCAAGCAGGACCCAGCCCTGGTGTACCAGCTGCCCTGCTTCTGGAACGTGCAGCTCTCCGATCACACCCGCTCGGAGCAGTGCTACACCGAGGTCTCGGATCTCAAGGTGGGTTTGCTGCCTTGGGGACTGGGGAGGACCTGAAGGGTAGTGCTGAAGGTCCAGGGGAGTCAGCGTGGGCCTTGGGGCGCATTGGGTGCTGCTGGCTTTTCCCCCCGTGGGGTGACACACCGCTGCCCTCAGGTGATCCACTGGAACTCTCCCAAGAAGCTGCGGGTGAAGAACAAGCACGTGGAGTTCTTCCGCAACCTCTACCTGACCTTCCTGGAGTACGACGGGAACCTGCTGCGCCGGGAGCTCTTTGGCTGCGCCAGCCTCCCCAGCCCTCCCAGCAACCAGGTGACAGCAACTGGGACCCTGTCCCGGATGCCAGGGCGTGGGGCGGGCAGAGACCCCGTGCCCCAGCTCCCCGTGGGGTGTCTGCCCTCCCTCACCTCGCTGGCGTTGCAGCTGCAGCGGGCGCTGGAGGAGCTGGACGAGGACGATCCCTGCTACGATTTCCGCCGGCAGCACCTCACGCAGCACCGCGTCCACCTCTTCTTCCTGCAGCACGAGTTCCTGGCCCTCCCCCACCCCACCGACGTCACCCTCGTGGCCCAGCTCTCCATGGACAGGTGCTTGTCGGTGGGAGGTCAGATCTCCCCTCCTTTTGTGGGGCCCTCACAGCTTGGGAGCTACCAGAGATCTTGAAACTCAGGTTTCTTACCCCCACACCAGCGTTTTGCCACAGTGGGGAGCAACACCCCCCAAGCTGGGAGCAGCAGTTCCTCCCACTGCCCCCTGAACTGGGCTGGGCTCACCGACGGGCACCCGGCCGTGAGTTTGGCCAAGCGGCCACGAGACAAGTCTCCTGCTTCCACGGCGTCCTCTGCTTTGCAGGTTGCAGATGTTGGAGGCCATCTGCAAGCACTGGGAGGGCCCCATCAGCCTGGCGCTGTACATGTCGGACGCGGAGGCCCAGCAGTTCCTGCGCTACGCCCAGGCCTCGGAGGTGCTGAGCGCCCGCCGCAACGTCGCCTACCACATCGTCTACAAGGAGGGGCAGTTCTACCCCATCAACCTCCTGCGCAACGTGGCCTTGGCCAACACACACACCCCCTACGTCTTCCTGACCGACATCGACTTCCTGCCTATGTACGGCCTCTACGATTACCTCAGGTGAGGCTTGCTCCTGCTCCACCCACCGGGCTCCCCAGGCACCGAGTTCTGGAGGAAATGCCCCGGGCAGCAGTTCTTCTGTTCATGTGTAAAGCCATTGATGCCCTTCTGGGCAGGAGGCTATGGCCATGGGTTACACCCTTCCCCACCGCCACAGGAACTCCATCCAGCAGCTGGGGCTGCCCCAGAGGAAGGCAGCTCTCATCGTGCCGGCCTTTGAGACCCTGCACTACCGCTTGACCTTCCCCAAATCCAAAGCAGAGCTACTCTCCATGCTGGACATGGGTTCCCTCTACACCTTCAGGTAGGGACTGTAGCCAGCCCGCTGTCCAGCGGGACTGTCACACCCGGCCGAACCCCATTTTGTACCCCTGTGCCTTGGGGTTGTGAGGCA